AAAAGCAACGCCACCTTAATTCTCACTTACAAATAATTGTATAGCCTACTTTTTTTAAAAAGTTTTATAGACCAGACGTCACTTATAACTTGGCACTCTGGCCCTTGAATGGACTATGTAGGCCTGTTTGCAAAGTGGATAATGATGTGTCATGATCGCTCCAGTGGTGGACCATAGCGCGTATGCGCACTGGTTTATGCGCCACTGATGTGTCCCATAACGAATTTCCATTTGAATGTGCACATACTCCTCCGGAGATTCGACTGGACACGGTGGCAAGGCTTTCAAGTCCGTGTTTCCCTCCCCTCACAGAGAAAGTAATGGTGCACGATACTCACTGGCCACCTTCAGAACGAAAAACCCGGTAAAGTCAAACACAGTTTTGACGAAGATGCAGTCGATCGCTAAGAATTCCTCCTCTATGTGGTTGACAAAAAATTGAATCAAACCATCATGCTTCGTCAAATTAGGAGATTCTTTCCCCTTAATCCGAATACCTTTCTCATCGGACGTGTTCCCCATTCTTGATACAGATACATTACTGTACATCTGCGTATTAAATGCATTGGGGAAGTTGGGGCTACTGGACCACTTAAGCACATTCTTGATTTTAACCATACTCAATAATCCAGGAAAAGGATGTGACTACTCTTAATAAATGCCCGAAATATTTGTTTGTTTATTGCGAACAACTGAAATCAGTTACATTAATAAACCTTATGAATATTAACTTGTTGACCACTAGCCCCACACCTGGGGCAAGTGAACTACATCACAAAACCTTAAAATTTTCCACCAAAAGAGTAAAAATGAATGTTAGAATGAGTAAATTGGTAATAAAACGCTGAAATTGGCAATTGTAATTATCTTAAAAGGACCAAAGCTCAATAAAAAATTAATTAGAAAATTCCTAAGCCTTTCCTCCAGTCAGGTAATTTCTGGTTTTTGGAATGTTAATCTAAGTATGGAGTTAGTTGGTTTTGGCGTTTTTATTATCCTGAATCATGATATGAAGTTTATTTTTAAAGATTATGTATATTTTTCACATGGGCTTCAATTTCTGTTCAGCTCAATCTTTGAAGAAATATACAAAGTTGTTTAAACGCAACTGGTCAATTTCAAAACTTTCCAATTTAATTTGGTCTAAGAGTGGGCCAGTTGCCCCGGCGACCTACTAGCCCCACCCTCCTCTACCGGTACTGCATACCGGATTGTTAAGAGACCACGACATTGTCACACCCCCCCCCCTTCCCGTTGCAGTTCACTTTTTTCTGGTTAATAATACCATAGAGCAAAGAGCAGACGCTCTGTGATAATACGTGGTTAAAAAAGACTCCTCGTGTAAGTTGTCGAGGTACTGTACAAGACGAAAACTTGATGACACACACTCGTGGCACGACTTAACGGTGCGTAGCCGCGTTTCCAGCAGTCAATGTCGCGTGGAAACCTCTGGCCCCTGTCCGCATTCCATGTGATTAAAGCGAATGTTGTTGAGTGGTAAGAACCACAATCCGGCTGGATACATTGCCCAAAAGAAAGACCATAATATCCCTGGTTTTATAAGTAAACTCGAGACTACACTCGACCCCAACTGTTTCTGCTATGTCGTTACGGTAATCGATAAAATTGTGTCGCAGGTATCAACAAAAAGACACCGTATCGAAAAGGCTGAAAAAATTAGGGAACCATGCGTCAAGCTGAATTTGAATTACAACCCTCTAGAAAAACCTTGGCCAGTTGTTTTTTAATCCCGGATCCAGCTAGTAATTCGGACGGGACTTAATTCATGACGTGTACCGTCTATCTAGGGCAAAGAATGGCTCTGAATGCAACGGACTTGCCGGCTCACAAGGTCCAATACATCAACATCATTTGTAGATTTTATTTAATTTTTTTTGGAAACATGCATCCCATGTCGGCAATTTTGGCGCAATTACGACATTCTGCAGATGCTTATAATAAACAGCGTGTAATGGGCAGCGCTGTAAATCAGTCGCTGGACCTCTATGGATGGAAATCATTGAAAAGATGGTCTCTCTGATGGCATCCGTATCACAGCACCGTGTCATTGGGGTTTGTCACACTTAAGACATTTAATGCGTCTTGATAACAGAGGAAAAGGGGCTGGTTGGGAGTGTGTAATCCCTAAGGGCTACTAGATAAAGGGTAACTGCTATTCAGTTTTCTAAAAAAAAAAACAGACCTCCAAAATCTTATTTGTATTGTTGGCAATTTTCGTCTTACTGTATTTTGCTGCCTTTTTGGTTTTTATGCTTATAAGTACAGCATTTCAATATTCGTTTGCAAAACTGAGATACCATCCCAGGAAGAGAACCTCAACTTTGCGTTATTTTGTGCACAAAACTGCTGATTTTTCGTTTTTGTTTCAGGGATATTTTTTTGGGGGGAGGGAGGTTTGCCGGCCTAATGTTTCTTTTCTTTGGCGATTCATTGTTGTGTGAGTACTTAGCAATGAAAAACAAGCAAATTTTCTCATAAATGTTTTCAGTGGGTACATTCTTGGTTCACACTTGAACAGATAAACCTATGCAGTGAAACTTGTCTCCCTGATGACACCCAGAGCAGAGTAGTGCCAACTTCAGACTTTGAAACCGAAATGGCTGTTCATTTTGTGTACAGTGAGCCTACAACTATTGTGTGCAAATTGGACACTAACGAGTAATCCACCATTTTGGTTCCAACAACCGAGACACTCATGTCGCAACTCTCTCTATGAACAGCTCTGGTGACACCACAAGCAACAGCGCCCTCAGTTGTCCAGAAAACACGAGCAATTTGTTACTTTAAAATAGAGCACTTTTGCATTACAAATAACATTGTCTTGCAACCCACATTCATCACTGTTAGTTCCTTAGTTTTGGTCCATCGGTGATCGTGGGAGTAAACGGAGCCGTCCATTCCCGAGGAAAAGAGGCATGATTTTTGTTTAATTGAGAAAGACAACGTGCGGCCCATATATAATAAGACTTCGGATTACCCTCATTCCCATAATAAACTCCTCAATTAATCATTACTCCTCACAACCAAAAAAATGTGGGAACCCCAACATTTTGAGTTTGGCTTCGCCCGAGTGTTATGGACACAATAGAAGTGTTAAACGGCTCCACTTGATCTTCCTCCGATTACAGTGTCACATCAAAATGACTTCAATACACGCCCTCACTCAGGAATTTGTGTGAAAAAAGAGCCTTGAGGTACTGAAACATTTTAAACCGATGTAACTGTTTGACCAATGAAACACGTAACCCCGGGGCGGGAAAGTGCTGACAATCGGCAAAAGTCAGTAGCGGCACGGAGGAAAGACGACCTCACGCTAAGAGCTGTGATGTTAGAATATTTTCTCAAATTACGGTGAATTAGGAGCCCAATAGGGGTGACCGCTTGTGTATTCGAATGGTCAGTGTAGAGATGACCTGGTCATGGCAAGCCTGCAGGCGCTGTGGCCATTTAAAGTCAACCTGAAGCCACTGAGCGTCTGAAACTAATGGCCTGGTTCCCTATTTTCTGAGGCATCGGCGTTGCAAACAGGAAATATCACATGCACCGAAAGTTAAAAACAAACTAAAAAGGCAAAACTCATGTGATACAAAATGGTCGTTTCAGCGGGAGGACTTCTCTGAGGGGAAGGGCGGGGCCTATCGGTGGGTTGGAGGGAGGTAGGTTTGTACGCGGCTCTTTTCATGCATCCTGTCAAAACAGTGATCAGTGACTGACGCTCTTTTCGGTGACATTTCTGTCAGATGACTTCCTGTTTTGTGACACTCACTTGCTGTGGATCACCATCACTTTCAGCCTTGGTCATATTCGTCCAAGAAGGAAGGTCAGAGGTCATCCACAAAGCAAGCTTAAGTTAATCCATTCGAAAATCCAAGACTAACTAAACCAGACGTTAATTGCCCTCAATTTACTGATGTGGGGAATTTAATAGAAAAGGACTTTATCCCACGGCATGGTCATGGAGGTTTTCAGAAAAGAAAGAAAAACCCATTACGGGTCATTGCCCTCATTGTCTGTAACATCCTGTGAGATCATACCCGTGCTGTGCCAAATTAGCAACGAAAAGCGATCCATTGGGTTCACGGGGCTCATGAGGGTTTATTTTATGAACTTAAAAACTTGGAAGGCACGAACAGTGCGGGAGTTTCATTGTTTCCTTAAGCTACGGATAATTTCTCTATTTGTATGACATACTTTGTTGATTTTTCTACGTTCATACATTTAGAGGCAAAAAAACTTTTTTATTCCGATTCTCGGGGGAAAACACAATAAAAGAAGTGTTCAAAACGATTGGTGGCGCTAGATTATTGCGTTTTCGCTTTTTCCTAAAGAACATCACCAACAATTGGCCAGCAACACCGTGAACTTAGTAGCAATATTTATGGAATTTTTTTAGGCGAATTATTTTAGTGAGGAAACACATGTATATAAAGAGCTTTCAAAAAGGCTAGCTGTACTAGCGATGTCACCAAAAAAATTCCGTATTAGGGAAATTAATAACTTTGTATGATGAAAATTATCATGTATAAAAAAGCAGGAACGCAAAAGCCATCTGGTACTGGAAAAAAACACACGATTTTTTGGAGGTTCAGCGAAGTTCAAACATGCACACTGTGGTTAACCTTCAAATTTAGACTCCATCTGGATATAAACCGTCTGTTTATGACAGATTTCCGACTCGGTTGATCCGAAAACGACCCACTACAAACCGCTCAATTTCCTAAAACGAACCTACAATTATAAAACCACAAATACCACCCAAACGGAACGAAACGTGAGCGACCGTGATCCACATTGAGTTTATCAGGGATGGGGCTAGTTCAAAGTGGAATGGTAGGAAACAGAAGACGCCAACAAAGCAATTACTAAAGACATTAATTTTTCAAACTTTATTTACACTTTCAAGTTCATAGATGAGCGTTTTGAATTAATAAAAGGAAATTTTCGAGTGATTATTTTACAAAAGCACAACTCCCCAAAACTTCAATATGTGACCTCGACAAAAAGGGCTCCATTTTGAGAAAGAAATTGGTCAACGCCCGGAAACCTTCCTCAAATATAGAGACCAAAGGCCTTTCTATTTATCAAAAGATAAATATGTAAGGTATTTTTCTATTGGTTTTCCAACACGCATATTATATTACATGGCAAGTAATAAGAAAGTAAGTAAGCAACTTTCTTAACCATTAATTTGAAACCGTGCTATGTTAAAACGATCCGACCCGTGATGTGTGTGGTCTTCGCATCAAACAAGAAGTATATTACGCATCAATCTGGCCAGATATCTGAACGACATACTGTGGTATTTACACTTTTTCAGAAAATGTGCATTCTTTTGTTTTTGATTTTGATTGATGATTTTTCTCCCCTCTAGAAAACTACCTGTCCTTCGATTTATCTTTGCCCATATCGATAATCGATATTCCGTCTTCGGCATTTTCGACATCCTTCTCTTTGCCCGTCAGGTTAGCGCGGGAGTCGCCCACACGATTTGACGAGCCCTTACTAGCACAAGACGCCGTCACCTCATCGAATAAATACTCCAGTAGTTGCATGACGGTCAAGACGCTGCCCCCGAGGAACAAACCGAAGTTCCCGCCCAGTGTAGCTGAAATTTCAATAAAATATTTGTCAAAAAGGGCGATGGCAAGAAGAGGCAAATATTCAGGGCCTACAGAGGGCGCTATACAACGAGGCCACTAGGTGTACGGTGTAGTGTTGTACAGTACTTTCTTCTCTTCATGTACTGCAACTTAAAGATAATGAACTGTAAAATAGTAATGAAACTATAAACTAATAGTGAAAAAATGTGCCATTTTTTAAAAAGAACTATAACATTTCTTGTGATTACAAAAAAATAATACTCTGTCGAAGGGCCTTTTGAAATGTATGATCGATTAGCCATTAATAGAATAAAGCTGATGGGAGACTTCCATTGTTTAGGTATGTGTGTAATGTTCATGCTACAATGGTTTACATGGTCGATTAACAATTAACCAGAATCTTCAAGTTTAAAATGAGGCTTAAGCGAATCTGTAGAGTTTTCTTCAAAGGTCCTTTTAATGTTCGACCGAATTCATTCAAATCGGGCAGCAATCTTACCTAAAATGGTAAAAACCGTCATCTCGGGAAGTTGTTCGATCACCTCGTGGTTGAGGGCTTCGAAATAGATGGACAGTAAGACCAGGTTGTTTCTAGGGAGAAAAAGAAAGCGGCGGACAGCAAAATATGAATGAGAGAATTTTTGCGCAGGTCAAATCTGTACCAGGAGGATTTTGCTAACATTTGCTAGCTTGAAAATCCATAGTTTTTAACATTAATATTGAATATTATCGCCAGTAGTGAATCCTGTTTTTCAACCTGCATTAACCTGGGTCGTCAATTATCCTTTTCTACATCCTATAATGTGTATACTACATCGCTTTCAAAGTTTCGTTTGACCCAATGATCTCTTCCGGCCATTAATTACTTACTCTATGTACTCGGCCGTGAAGTTGTGCGTTGTGCTGTTGCTGTATATTGTCTCAATGAAGTTGGCACGGAGCTTCACGTTGGTAGTGGTGAACGGGTAAACCTCTAACTCACAGGGGGATTTGCAATCACAGGAACTTTCTGTTTCGCCCGTAACAGCTTGAACTATAGCAAAATGGGGCAAAAATTCATCATTTAAGGCACTGGCTATAACGATCGTATTCTACCTTTTTTCATTATTGTTGCCTTGTCCACAAAAGAGTGCACACACATTTAGGTTATAAAATGACAAAATGAAATAGAATAAAAGAAATTCCAAAATACGAGGGCGTTTCTTTGCATGTTTGAACACTTTTCTTTCAACATGAGGTCAATTAATTGCATTTGCATGGTCGGATTATAACCAGCAATTTCTGGAACTCTGTGTTACAGAGTACGCAACTGAGCAGTCCAGCTTCCAAAATGGTTTTATTTTTTACACAAACTTTTAAGCAGTTCAACAACCCGTCTGGTCAAACTTTTTATTGGTAGGCCTACGGTGCGTCAATTTTGAGGTGCTCATTTGGCTTGGCATCTTTGATTTACATTTACAACATTCGGGAAGTTTTGTAGATAAGGAGTAATTTGAGGTATTTATGCCTAACTGTTTACGTGTCTGAATCACAAACCTAACACAACGTGAGCACACTCGTGCGACTCGGCCGGATTACAGACCGGGGCTGTCCCAGGCTGTTCTACCAGTCTGCACCCGCACTGATCCACCACCAAGTCCGTTTCACACTCGATCCGGCAAGCCTGGATCGAGTAGTGGTCAAAGTACTTCAGACTGCCATCCTCTTCACACATTGTGTAAGGAAAAGGGAGGCTAGATATCTACAAATAGAAAATGCATGCCCTTTTAAGGAGGCTAAAAATACGTGCACAGCCTGTCAAGTTGTTTTGATGATCTTGCGATCTCTAATTGTTCTTTCCTTTCATTCAAGTGGCACGCGAGTAGAAAAATGATTGCGTTATCATATAGAATTACCACCTCTTTAGAAAAGCAAAGATTTAAATAACTCGATTGCCAAAAAGTTACTTGAGCCTTTCCGGAACATCCAACATTAAAACCTATACAAAACTGCATCTTTCGGGAAATGGGTATGTAGCATTGTGAGTGATATACACCCAAGTATATCAGGATTCCCTGGTACCTTGATACTGACAGCGCTATCAATTTGATAATAAAAATAAACTGGGTGCTCACGTTATTCGAGGAAAAAAAGAAGAATTTGGCTTCAAAATACTTAGCCTTTGACTGAAAACTGTATGAATTTTCAACACGGTTTGTAGAAAACGTGATGTGCTTTTTGGGGGGTGGGGGCTGCGGCTTGCGGTAACATACAAGTCCAAGGGAAGTGGCCTTTGCAGGTAGCCAGTGATTTCCATAAGTACGCGTGTTTTTCTCAACCGTGCTTTCGGCCATAATGTCCGAAGAACTGAGGATAATCTATACGTATATACGGACGTATATAAAAAAAACCTGGACTTTGTATGGAGAAGAAGCCAACCAGCGGCCATTTTACCGAGCCGAATACAAATGCGTGGGTTGGCTCCCTCTACGTCAGGAAGAACAAAGGTGGGCATTGACAGGAAAGCTTTGTATTCGGCTCGATAAAATGGCCGCGAGTGGATTCAATGATCTCTATAAGCTGATTAAGGGCATTGCGAGTCCAGATTTTATTATACATGTCCGTGGGATAAACCTTATCTTAATAACCCTGTCTGACGTGATCCGATGCGCCCTGGAAGTAGTTAAAAACAAACTAACCAATGAGGGCGCAGTATGCATAAACTTCACTCAGTCCCCGTCCGACCCTAACAAGGCGCAGGGATGGGCGAATCTCTCAAACCAGATTTTGTGAAGGAAGAGCAGACGTGGCAAAGCATTGTGGGTTGATGGCTGCCTTATAAACCAATGCATGTTTAGACAAGATGTGTTGAACAGAACTGTCTTTTAAACTAATTCTATCCGAGGAAGGCAAAAAAATTACGTTGTCTAAGCTGAAAAACGTACTTCATTTGGAGGACAGTGATATGCATATACCTTTGGTACTAACAAGCAAATACTTCTTATATGCAAATAGCTTTTGTGCATCAAACTTTTCTTGCTCACTTGTTCGTGCCGGGTTGCGACGAAGGTATGGTGGCCCGGACCTGCTCCGAAGCCCAGCTCCTTGACGTAGGGCGGCTCTGAGGGATGATGCAGCATCCACTTGATCCCTGCGTCCTCGGCAGCTCCGTCAAGGTCGTTGCTAGGCGTGTACTCCTCCTCTTGGATATTCAAGGTCAACTTTAGGCCATTGGCTGCAGTAAAAATTGAGATGTTTTTCATGGCGATATGAAGCTTTCGGATTTGTCTTAGTGCGCACATTACAATGCTGTCCGTACTTTTTCTAAAATGCCAACGTAACATTGCATTCTTTGTATACTATTCAATTCGAAGAGTCCAACTGGAAGTTCTGAGAGCCGTTCAGCCTTCTGGCTGAGACAGTGAGAGTTTACTTTGTGTTTATACACACCTGCTCCAGCAGAGATTGTCGAATGACGATCCTGGTCTAACTCCACGTGATTGAAGGTATAGCAGTTCCCCAGGTGGGAAAAGACGTGGTGGAAGTCTTGGGAGTTGCAAGGCGAACCTTTCCACGTACACTAAAATTGACATTTTTGTAAGACACCAGTTTTGTCAAAACAATCATAGCGTAATGTCTTTTAAGAAAGCAATCCACGTAGTATCCATTGCATCCTGGAGTAGGAGACTATGCATTCGTCCCCTCGATTATGCAAGTTCTACACCCCTTCTCGAGGTCGTTAAGTGACATTTGTTATTAGGATGCCCACGATCGATAATGCACTACATGTACTACACGGTGTGTGGCCAATGCAACGTCTTCGTAATCGTTCGGGCGGGATTGGTACACCGTTACATGTAAATTGGCCAGAGGCCGTGGTTCGCTCGTGGTGCAGAATCCACCATCGATTGTAGTAAGTCAAGATAAAACACGCCAGTTTTGAAGGGAGCCAAACTGGGATTGAGTCACCTGTTTGTTTTGTTTTTTTAAAATCCTACGCTAATGCACAAGTATAACGTCAGTGTAGACAGATGCCTCAATGTTAACAAAAAGCAACAAAAGTTGTTTTTACAAGTAATAAGAGAAAACGTTTTGTGCTAAAGTTCCCCTTTTGACTTTGCAAAGCGTGTGAAGAGCACGTACTGAAATGTAGCCTAAACCTTGAGAAAGGCCATGAATGGTTACACAAAATAAATTGTCAAAATTATTGCCCCTCCCGGCAAGAAGATTTCAAAACGACAATTTGGTTCTCGATCCGCCCATGATGATAATGGACATTTTGTTTTCCAGTACAGAATTTAAATTATCGATATTTCACTGTATCTTTCATTCATGTTGCTAAAAGTCCTACAAACAGTACATTGAGTGTCTGAAGAGACATCCGAGAGAACATTTGCACCAAATCACGCGTGAAATTCGTTTCTTTGTTTCGTCAACTGTGACCCTACCTTATGAAGTGTAAAACTGTGACACAATTAAATATTCATAGAGATCCCACTTCCTTCACAACATTTGTAAAATATGGGGGAGAATTGTGATAAGGATGACAATCTGCGTCTGAGATGCTTCAAAAGAATGGTTCTGGGGATCTACATAGTAAAATGAGCAGTTGTGAAGTCAAGATTTATGGCTAATAATGAGTAAATATGTCTTATCTGTGATTTCGGGCCAAGGAAATGATTTGAAAGTTGAGTCTAAGTATCCAGCCTTTGGCGGTCCCCAGAGGGAACAAAAGCTTTTATTACATGTTGCTGCGAACACCAAAGGCTGTTGATACTCAGCACATAGCCTTTTCTTCCAGTGGACTTCAAAAAATAACAAATTCCAGTACAGTCGCTCTTCCCACCTCCACTATCATCTCGTCCAACTGGTGCCCCGTACGGTTGGTAAACTCAGTCATGTCGTAGTCCTCTTCAACTTCCAGAGCCGTCCAATTAACGGCGGCCAAATTCTGCTTAAACTCGTCCGTGTATAGATGTGGATTGATGAGATTGTGGTCTTCGTCGATGATACCTGGTGATATTATTGACGAAACTTGAGAACAGTAACTGAAACATCATTTACAATCTTTGGTTTGGGTTGGTTTTGATGAAGAGGGGAGGTGTGATGTAATGTGATTCGAGAACCCTTTTGTTAAACCCGCAATGATTCACCTTTAACGCAGCATCAGTCTTTTTTCTTTAATTAAAAATGGTCTTTTTAACCTTTTCCCGACACTGGCTGGTCAAGGATTTCGGGGGGGGGGCTGTACAGTGTCCAAATGTTGTGCCCCTCCAACTAATGTTCTGACCAAGTTTTCGCAGTCAGTTTCGATTCAGCGTTAGTGCTTTAAGTTACATGTTCAGTAAATCTTTGCAACGATTATGTCGAGGACCGATCAAATAAATAGATGTGCAAAATAAAACAAAGTGAAGGCGGAATGCTTAACCACTGCAATGTCAATGCCCATCTTTCCCCTTTTTGGCATTATGGGGGAGCAGGTTAGCGAGCGGTTCTTTCCTCGCTTTGCACCAATGAGGCCCGGGTTCGAGTCCCGGCTTGGCCCAGGCTTTAAGTGCATTTGGTTTCCAGTCCACACTCGCTCTCGCAGGTTTTCTCAGGGCAATGCGGTTTCCTCCTGAAAACCGGACCTTCTTGCTACCTCAAGAGGGACCGCATTGGAAATAAATTGCAAAACTTTCATGGGCTATCTCTGGTATTACCTAATTGTGAGGTAATACCAAATAAATCCAAACCAAAGCTTAGTTCATATCAACCATTGCCTAGTTTAGATTATGGATTTACGAGGAGTCCCCGAGGTTTGTAATTAAATGCATAGGGCATGTCGCCTTCTTACTGAGCAGAGTCTGGCAGTCCCTTTGGGACCGAGCTTCTGTTGTTTTCAAATGCCCCAAATTGGCAAATATTTTACATTCTTTTTTTTAAGCAATGTCTCTTTAATCCTTCAGTTCTGCGAAAGGAAGTCTACGGCAGCGAAGGTATTTGCGGGCCGAAAGGGGCCTACACACCTTGTAAGATGTAAAAAATCAAGGGAATAAAAATGTAGAGCTTTCCTCAAGGAAAGGACCGCATGGATGAACTTGATTTTCTAACAAGTGGTATAAAGTAGAAGGGCCACATGTGAACGATAGTTTGGTCCTTATATCTCAGTGATGCAAGGTCTTAGGTATCACTAAACTCACCCAGATGAGTCCCAACATTCTTAAGGTCGCGCTCGGTCCAAGCAGACTCCCGGTATTTGTTGAAGTTGCAAAGGGTCACGGCAGGGAACTCCAGCTCATCGGCGTAGTTGATGTCCACCTTGGTGACGTGGTTCCATTCGAAGAAGCTGATGAAGGACAGCGCTGTCTGGTACAGGAAGAAGCCCAGCGCAGCCAGGGTGACGACGGCCCAGATCAGACGGCGCAGAACCCCGCCGCTCCCGGCCACATGCTTCAGTCCGTGGAGGTCCGAAACGTCCCGCGCCCATTCCACAAGATGGCAGCGCTTGTAGCATCCCATGCCAGCAGTTCTTGCTCGATTTGGCGATTACAAATCTCTGTCCTGCTTCCAGAAGTTCCTCAGATTCGTATATGGGCAGTGCACACAGGAGGTGTCGTTTTGTCTCCTGCATAGAACGTAGCACGACTCGTGTAGCCGTTTACATGTTCCAGTCAATGTGCTGTTGTGTCGTCACCGCGATTTTATTCTTCTCCCGTGGTCAATAAGGCTTAGGAGTCCATTTTATCACCTATCGATGATCGGATTAAACCTCATTGGAACTGGTTACTATTCGATAAACCCACTGGCCAACGAAACTGTATCAATCAATTCAGTACCATGGCAACAAATTATGTAACAGTTTAGGACAAATAAAAAAAACTAAAAAACTAAAAATAAATTGTTGCCCCATCTTTTGGCTTCCTTTTGAAAACCACAACACTCTAGACTGACATGGACTGACTCTGCAAGGTGGCTTCAAATCCTCTTCATAAAACGTTCCCCTAGCCCTGTACAGTGTATTCACTTGCATAATAGGTGTTTATTTTTCCTTCTCCCGATGAGAGGGTAAATATAGTAACAATATGCTCAGTTACCATCAATCTTTGGTGCAAGCAGCGCGCCGCACGTCGTGTGATTGTATTGCAGGTGCTACCGGACCTCACTGCGCATGAAGACAAACACTACTCACGTCTAAATCGACGGAGACGACTTCATGGCAAAGGCCTCTCGCCGATGAAAGTTGATTTCAGAAGAGAAAACCCTTCCTTATTAACGTGAATCATACGCAGTCAGGCCAGCCTTATCCCTTCCACTGTACTATGGTTGTTGGTAGCTACGGTGCGAATCCACACAAGTGCACGAACATCACGCGTGGGTTGTCTTCCGAATTACACGACAGGCTTCGGGGGCTCGTTACTGAAACTGACAAGTTTCTTCTTATCTTCTCTGAAAGGATTCTGGGTCCACGGTGACATAATCGACATCTTGGGCTCTTGCGTCGTCCCGGTCGAGAAAAATGGATATTTTTTATTAATTATAATAACGGACTCAGCAGTCTTTGCATACCTGTCAGTGAGATGGATTTTTTTCTCGAGTATGCTTCCCGAGTTTCAGTATCGAAGACGGAGCTATTCGTTGCGAACACAATGAGGGAAATTGACGGTTGACGGTAAATGAAGCCAGTGATTGAAGGAAACAATAAACAAGGAAGTTTGGATACGTAATAATAATTTTCAATTTAACTTTGGTGGACAGGTATTAGAAAAGTACTCGGCAAGTGCATACAAAACCGTGGATCTTTTTTTCAAAAGTCTGGTAGTGTGGGCTCTTTATTTCTTTTATTTTTTTCTTTATATTTTTCTTTATTTATTCATTCATTTTAAAATATTTTCTGTTCAAGGTCCGCATATCAACCAACTTTATCCTCACCAAACCACTAAACTTTATGCAGTAAATTTAGTTTTCAGAAAAGACCCATTCTACAAGATTTGTCTGAAAAATTCAGTGTTTTCAAAGTGAATACCTCAAGAATGTTTGGTTAAAGTTGACTCTCAAGGACGTTTTAGAGCTTTCAGATGGCTAATACATGTAAATCACTGCCGGGAAAAATTAGTGGCTTCCGTATATGAAATCCATCCCGAACCAGTCATGATTATGTATTAAGTTGGTCTGTTGTGGATCTATATATAGGATTTACACGACTCACTTAGTGAACTATTGTGCGCAGGACGGCTTCAACAGAGACATCTTGCGTTCTTTGACACAAAAAAATTGAGCTTCCCAAAATAACAAATGCGCTCAAACAAAATAAGCCTTTCATTCATAATTCGGAGATTGATTTTATAACGCCATTGAGAACATCGATGTTTTCACTCTCATCACGAAAGGTCAGTGACGATAAGAAAACTATTGCTGGTGAAGAGTGTCTGTATAAAAGATGATGGGGCTAAAGATGACCGATGCGAGATGTATACTTCAGTGATGCGAGAGGGATAGACATATCAGACGAGGTGGGTGCATGGATCTTTCTTCAGGGCAAGGCATGCAGGTAAGCCCGATTAGGTGTTACCCACTAAACTTTTGCACATGACTGTACTTGAATGGGCGGCCAAAAATTGCACGAATATTGCCCTTGGTTGATGCCACATTGTATCTCGAACTGTAGATTTGCCCGTTACTTTAAAAGTCGTATTTTATTGCGTATTTTACAGTTGTGTATAATTTTGGTGTTTTTTTTATAGTTGGGTCATTCTATAAATTTGGGGTCCAAAGTGTGACATTTTCCCGGCCCAGTGACCTCTGACAAGTCTACCATCTGACATGTTTGACGAGGGATGTATCACTGAAATTGATTTCGAACTATCTTTAATTGTCTGGCAGCTAATTTGCAGTACTTATGCAATCTTGGAATTAAACAGTTAGTTCTAAACATTAAAAATCCTATGCCAGATGTAAAAGGGACGGGAAAAAATTGGACCCCAAATTTATAGAATGACCCAGCTGCTTTGCATGGTCAGCCATAGTGCGTCATTTTTTCCTACCACTGCAGTGGTAGGAAAAAATAAAGCTGTGAAAGAAAGAACGGGTCCCATGTAATTTTGAGAAGTAATGACGTTTCATGTGAGCCAGACAAGAGTACCGCTTTGGTATAAAAAAGGAATGACGTCATAACGTTTGTTGTCTGATTTTTTTTTTCACGGAAATGGTGCTAGTGCTGCAAGAAGACCTTGCAAACGGTTGTAAATTCACCTAATTTGGAAAGCAGAACTGTGCTTCATCTTCCAATCACTGACAAGCACAATTACAGAATGCACTATTTCAGAAATAAAATTTGACCAACTGGTCAATTTAAGTACACAAACAACTTGACAAATATAGGCAATGGCAGATTTATTTCATGTAATGAGTACATTTTCATTTTAAATAAAACATGCTAGCGACTGAAAATACCTCGTAATTCTTATTACTATATAGTACCATGCTAAAGTATAATAATCTATAAACAGCGACGAAAACAAAATCTTGATCGGCTTGAATTCTCTTTTTCTAGAGTCAAAAGAGAAATTCACTATTTTATATTAAATTTAACATTTCATTTCCAACTTTTAAAAACATTTGGAACATTATACAACTGTTTATCCACTTGTCCGTCTGTTGATGATTGCTGAGGGCTGTAAGTGGCTACGTGCAACAGTACTAACGGGCTTGCGGCTGGAGATGTAACACTTCCCATAGACTCGTGCGTTACTGCCCACCGGATAGCCAACCGTAGATGTGACATTAGATGCGGCCCTATACTGGCGTAGTGTTCTCCTGGGTGTTACACTAAATACATTTCCCCAAAATTTCTTCAAAAAACATTTGTTCTAAATAGTAGTTAGGCCCTAATGTAATAGCTAACAGAGATCAGAGTCAACATATCGTATAGGCCTATTATTTGCCATAGACAACCTAATTGTTACTAGATAAGCTCAAATTGAAAAGGTATATAAAAATTATGATGTCATTGGCAGTGAAAATACTTGGTTCTACCATCAATAATGAAGCCTTGCATATAAAGACCTGAGATCGTGAAATAAATACATGTACATGACTACATTATCACAATAACCCCAAACGTCAAGTACTTAACTTTTTGTTGTCCGGACTGTTATCTGTTCCATTGGCGTCCATGTTCCAACTCTTTCTCAGTATCGATAACCGATATGGGTGCGGCCCTGACCGTCAAAATCTCGCGAGCATTGCTAATGCGACCGGAGGTCTTTCGCCTTGTACATGATGCTGTCAACTCATCGAAGACATACTCCAGCAACTCCACTATCGTCAGGACGCTAGCCCCGAGGAACAGACCAAAGTTTCCGCCCAAAGCAGCTGAAAAGGGGAGTAACTCATAATTGAAGGAATCATTTTATTGGAGTAAAACGGTCTTGCTTATAGACAATCCTCCAAAGTTGTGATACCAAATCAGTTTACATTACCGTCAAGTTTTGAAGTTGAACTTCCTTTTCGAATTTTCTGATTGATTTATTTCTTTATTGATTGATTGATTTTTGGGGGGTGGGATGGGGAGGGGAATTATGGTGTAAATCCGTTGGCCACATTAAACATTGACAGCTTCTTACCGAGCAGGCTCGGTACGGTCATCTCCGGAAGTTGCTCTATCACTTCGGCGTTCAAGGCCTCATAGTAGATAGACAGGAGCACAAGATTGTTCCTGTACATTGAAACGAAAAGAACAATTGGCACCACGCCCCTTAAAAATATAGTGGTTGGGTCAAAATGTAAATCAGTATTGTGACGTCCTTGATGTAAGGACTGTGATTGGCTTTTTGTGCGCAGCACTTGACTGTGATGGCGCCGCACATGAGAGGCTCAGTTGGGTCCTCAAGCCTTAATTTATTTCCTTGTTCATATCCTCTTACCATCTGCTGAGCAATGTACGTGGAGATGAGCGCCAATCGTCACGTGATTTAATACGGTTTGTGCATGTCGCAAGGTGTACCGGTACATTTCCCAAACTTCATCATACGGTTCACTATCGGTCTAAGCTTCCATAGTAATATTTGCGTCATTAAGCCTGTACTGGTGAAATGGCAGCTAAAAGCATTGATTCCGATTGACTAAACAGATATTTAAGGTATAGCTCATGTATGGGCTGCACGCTTCCATGTATCAACACAGCCGCAATGTTGGTACCTCACCTTTCGGGGTGAAAAGCCCTCACGCGACATCGCTGGTATTCTCCACCATGCAGTGTGATTGGTGGATTGTTTAGGTAAATATAATTGGGCACCATATCGAAAATGCCGAAGCCATGCTGGGCATCGAATTTACATTCAAAATGACTAGAACATGTTTTCAGATAGATATCATTTTCTAGCTTTGTGCATCCTGTAGAAAGTTTAATTAATACTTGACTTACTGTATGTAATCAGCGGAGAAGTTATGAGTAGTGTTGCTGTAAATTCTCTCGATGTACTTCGCTCGAAGCCTAACGTTGGTGGTTGTAAAGGGGTAACTTTCAACTGAACACGGTGACGAACAGTCGCAGGCTTGGTCTCCATGGCCCGCCACTGCATGAACTGTATGTTTTAAGCCAGTGACAAAAGTAGCTTAAGGCCTGTGCTTTCCTCACTGACAGGTGTCTTATAACTATTGGTCGTTATCCAAGTAACTTAGCTGTATTACTAGTTTTAAAATATTAAAAAAAATCAGATAAAGCTTTAGTTTGTCATCTGAATTAGTTCCTTTTATTGTTTATAAATTATCGAGATGCCTCCAATTTTAATTCCCAAAAAAAATTTTCAGATGTTTGCAAGCATTAGTCTCGGGCTTTCCAAATACTCGGCTTCGTCTCTGTTCAAGGTCTTGTGTCTAAAATCGATCAATGAATGTTGGCCAACGCTCTTCAATATAAATACAAATATGTACTTCAATATTTGTCCCAATAGTTCAATGTTCTGGTGGCGCACTATGGCTTATAATCGTTAGGCCCATTTCAAAGGCAGGGATTAAAAATCAGGCGAAGCCTCAGGTGGGCACGGAGCTTGGAATTGGAAGACCCATTTTGAATTTAAGTAACAAATACTGAAACCGACCCAGAGCGGCTTGGGCGCATTCGTGCGTCTCAGCGGGGTTGCAGACAGGAGCGTTTCCCGGCTGTTCAACCAGTCGGCACCCGCATCTCTGCACTACGACCTCGGTCTCGCATTCGATCCGGCAGGCTTGAAGCGAGTAATGATCGAAGTGGTCAAGGAAGCCAGCACTTGTCTCCATGCAAGGTGTGTACGGTGAAGGAAGACTTTCAACCTGAAATATAAGAAAACGTAAAATGGATGCCAAAACAAGCTGGTAAAAGACGGGGGGACTCTCTTGTACCTTGTATCTTTAAGCATGAAAATCTTATTTTCTTTCCGCGGGTTTTAAAGGAATAATTTTTCGGGCCTACGTGCTGACCATTGTATTTTTGTTTGAGATAACCAACTTGTAATTCCATAGTACAAATCATTACTAAAGTTTATTTTATCTGCTCGTGACAGAAATCGGCATTTAAAAAGAATAACTGAAGGACAGTTTGATGAAATCAGTTGCTATGGCCTACTATCGGTTACAAATTTCTATAAGGTAAGAGAGTGAATCACACGTGGGCTGTGTACCTCTTCGTGACGAACGGCGACGAAGGTATGGTGGCCCGGACCCGCCCCGAAACCCAGCTCCTTGACGTAAGGCGGCTCTGAGGGATGATGCAGCATCCACTTGATCCCTGCGTCCTCGGCTGCTCCATGAAGGTCGTTGCTAGGCGTGTACTCCTCCTCTTGGATATTCAAGGTCAACTTCAGGCCATTGGCTGCCAAAAACACCGAACAACTGAACAGTCCATCGACAAAACACCTGATGCCACTGTTGACACATAACTTGCTATTTCTGTGACATCACTAAAGTTAGTCTACACACGCGCCAGGTTACAGATTAATATTAAAACATAAACTTCAGCTTTTTGAGAACCGTTTTACCAGCGTTTGCTTAATACACGCTTACTGACTATATACTACATGTATGATAATGTTTTTAAAAAGACAATACGGACAGTAAACCTTTGAGCTCAAACCTTGCCTGGGTGGTTTAGATTCATATAAAAGTAATGATCAGCGTGTTGGCTCTGTATCACAATAACTATCAAAGACGGAAAATAGAAGCAATTCGGGGATTCCACTCTTCTGCATGCAGCGCAGGCTAAGCATCTTTTTTTTCTGGACTTTTAGAAATTGCTTCAGATATATGCACTGGGGCGTATAGAGTGTTTTGGCAAGTCGCGATACACACCTGCCCCAGCAGAGATGGATGAGTGACGCTCAGTGGCCAGGGCCACGTGGTTGAAGGTGTAGCAGTTCCCGAGATGGGAGAAAATGTGGTGGAAGTCGTCAGGAGAACAGGGCTCATCTCGCCAAGAGCACTACTCAGGAAAAGAGAAAAACTACTGGAGCTTCGTTTGTGACTTACGACATGATTGAGACCGGAGATGTCATTATTCTCGGGCAAATAATGCATTTTAAATTTAAGATATGTTGTATAATTGATGAAAAGTGAATATATATGTCTTCGTGTGGTCTCCTGCGTGTTACGCCTGCGCCTTCTGGTTCACACATTTAGCAGTACTTAAGACTAATTTTCGTATGACTGAGCACAAGCTAATGTCTATCATAGCATTCTGTAACTAGTTAAACTCGATGAGATGTTTGTAGACGAACTCCACAGTGTGAACAAAAGTATGAAATAACTTGTCATAATGATGTATATACCTTAATGGAGAAGCTTGAATGATTTGATGACCCCTTCTTTTTCAAAAAAAGAAAGCTTTTTGCAAAGATTTATTATCAGTACCAGAGATGCATTGAGAGAATGATTCTCAGAATATAGCAAGGAGAAACAATTGTGGAAGTGAAATTCGAGACAACAGTTGAATCTATCACTTTGTACATGTCCTCCCGGACAAAAGGCTACGCCCATACAAATAACCCAGCCTTTGACGGTCCCAACGGGAATACAATACAAGGTATTCTTAATGTTCGTCGAGAAAGCCAAACGCAATCGTTATTTGGCAGGTAGCCTTCTCTTGCAGTGGATATCAAACAAAATGACAAGTTCCACTACAGTTTTGAACCCCACCTCCACTATCATTTCATCCAACTGGTGCCCCGTCCGGTTGGTAAACTCCGTCATGTTGTATTCATCGTCAATGTCGTGAACCGACCAATCGACGGCTGCCATCTTTCGCCTGAACTCCTCCGTGTACAGATAAGGGTTGATGAGGTTGTGGTCTTCGTCGACAATACCTGTAATCAACCACGAAAGAATGTCACTTCATCAATTGCAAAGGCGTGGAAAAATCTGTTGTTCTTCATGCATGCATGTCACATTTTTCATGCAATATGATAAAAATATGCAGCTCTTAAGAAATGCTCCTGTGTTTTCCATTTAACTCGATTTTCACTTTAGATAAGCCAATTTAAGTATACATGTATTTCCTGGTGACTTTTCATGCTGATGCTAACGACAATCTACAAAATGGAAAAAAAATATAGTGTCATCCAGGACAACATTTCAATGTGACAGCTGTGTCTGTACTAGATTTCATCCGAATTTTGGAGAGTTTTCTGTCGCAAATTGTTTATTTATTTATTTATTTATTTATTTATTTATTTATTTATTTATTTTGCTCAATGTGGAGGTGCGTTGCTTCAGTTCACAGTAGGCCAGTAAGCAAAGTTTTCTCAACAATTTTTCCAATGAGCAAATGTTGGGTTTTGAACAGAACTGAACCTTTTGATATGAACGGTGTCTTTCTGTTGTGACATCAGAGCCATAGCCCCAAAATGTGTCAGGAAAGGCATTAAAAAATAATTTTTTATTGCATATTGCATTTGACTACATAGTGACGTCAGGTCTTACATTTTGGATGAAGACGCACAAGAGGTTAATAAACCATGCAGCGAATAGCCAAATCTCTTTCCCCCCGATAAGCAATAACCGGACTGATTGGGGTACTTCAATTATTCCCTCATGAGACAACAGAGCCAACTGCAATGTGTAACCATCCCACGGCAGTATTTCCGCCTTTCTTATAAAATATTTTATCAAATAGTACATGTACAGCAGTACATGTAATAACGGAATTCATGATGCAGCAAACCAAGTGGTATAATATTTCAAATCATGGCTCTGAATATTTTAACAATTGCAATTTCGACATGATGATCATTTTGGACCGGTGTAGCCTTTCTCTGTCCCGATTTTGAATTCGCCAAATATAGGAAATATATATATATGAAATTGTTGCATAAATGTTACATAATGTTGCAAGATTGTTATTGCTTCTTGTGACGAGTACGCAAAAGAAACTGGACATTAACGGTCGCTTTTAAATTAAATCTAAACCTTGCATAACATTCCAATGTTCCCTGAAAGCGTTTCTCTTGTCAAAATATTGTCATGCTCTTTTTCTTCTGCGAAAATCAACCTTTTTGTGCAGGAAATTCATTTTATGATATAAGTAATTAACGGAATGGAAATTGGAAAAAGAATCAATAGTAAAGATCAATTTCTATGCAACGAAATGGGGGGGGGGGTTAAAAAAAATTCCATTTTCTCATTTTCAGAACAACACAACACCAGTGACGACGGTGCGAAGGTGGAAAAACAGTTGATGAGCGTTCAGTATGTGCTCATATTCCTGTATGTATGGGAATTATGGAAGCTACCGGAATATGATTTTACGATATAGGCCTATACCGAAAGAAGGCTGACCGCCGTACTCACCCAAATGGTAGCCGACATTTCTGATGTCGCGATCCGTCAGGGCCGACTCCCGGTACTTGTTGAAGTTACAGACAGTGACCGCGGGGAAGTCGAGTTTCTTCCGGTAGGAGATGTCCACTTTGGTGACGTGATGCTTCTCCACGAAGTGGATCAGCGTCAGCGTGGCCTGGTGCAAGAAGACGACCAGCGCGGCCAAGAAACACGCCGCCCAGATCAGACGGCGCAGTATCCCGCCCTCCCCAGCGATGTGCTTCACCCCGTGCAGGTCCGTATCCGTCAGGGCCCACTGACGAAGGTAGCAGCGTTTGTAACAGCCCATTGTGGGATATCTCATGAAACAGGCCCCGGAAATCTACCTTCAGTCGCAAAACTGCCTAAATCAAGACTACTGTAACCAACATTTGCTCTCTGCCTGTAGGTTTTCGCTTTTGGGCTCTGAAGCAGGGAACCATGGCACAACGCGTAGAAATAATTATCCCTAAAGGTCAGTAGGCCTACCTGTTTAGAGAAAATCACAAGGCAAACATCGTCTAATCATGGGCCCGATAATTGGTTCTGTTCGTACCTTGAAACCCTTAGCTCATCTCCGGGTGATGTGACTGTCGTAAGTTAAAGCTCCGGATGAACAGTTCCGTTAATAATTCCTTTTGGAACTGTATGGGTGCTCTCCAGAAACGAGTGGTTTCGGTGAGATTAATAAGAAATGTCCTTCACCGTAAATGGAAGTACCGGAGAATATGTCCCTTGGGGATCAGTAATGAAAGGAGCGGCTTATTCGAGAGGACTTAATTAATTAATAAGTGCATTTACTTTGTTTGCGTGACCATCCACATGGAGACCATTACGCAGGGGTACGCCCAGATTGGCCAGAGACACTCAAAGACTAGGTACTACCTCGGAATGACCATCCCTTGTTTCTCACCCATGGACTCCGGTAGTAGATCGGGATAATTTCTGAAATCAAACTGCATCAAACCAGACTTAGAAGCGAAACCGCATGAATACTTTCTTAGACATCACAAGTCGACCTCAGTATGTCCTTTTCATTCAACGAGAAAGAAAAATCAACATGTAGGCCTACAGGACAAAAGTTGCCCCCTTCTGGTTAGTCATGGTCATAAACTGAGACAATCCAGGAATATATTTCACTATTCAACAGAACTAAACCGGCAATACTACAATTGTATGGGAAAACGAACAAAACTACAAGAAACTTGCGCCAGGTTTTATGCATTAAATGGCGACAGGTACAACATATTTAACTATCAAGCATTTTGTACTGTGTCTAACATCGATGATTGATGCGACCAATTTTCGAGTTCTTAATTGAAATATTGCTTGTTTGAATTCAAAAGCGTGACAAGACACCACGAAACACTTGTGGTACAACAGAAAAAAACAGTTTAGTGCAAGCGATCAATTTCATGTTTGCAATATAAATGCACAACGCAGGCAATCCACATTTGTCTAATTAACTTGATTACATAACCAGATGTATTTCATTTAGGTATGGCACAACTAGTAATCAACTTAAAAACAATCACCGCCTTTTCTGTCACACATACTGCGCTAAAGAAAGAGAAAGCTCCTACAGCTCCTCCTCCAACACTAGCTGTTAAGAATGAGTTGAATCATAACCATAAACTAAAATATATCCATCAATTTCTATTCATTTAGGTTTCATTACAATTTTATCACAACTGTAGATCAGTAATAAACAAGCTATGTCAGCAATAAAATTTCATATATTTGATAATGAAACATTTATCATTACAGTTAAAATATTTTGACACAAACATATATATTTCCTAGTTGAAAATATATAAAAAAGATTCCTTCTAAAAAGCAATTTTTAATCTAAAAATTCAAAGGCATGATTCGGAGTCTTTGCCCATATCATTTTGTCTTTCGACTGATACATTTAACCGCCATGATTTTTTAGGGTATTTGTTAACATTAAAATATAAGCAATGGACAGGATGTGACTTCCCTTTAAACCAATTATCTTACAAATTTCTCTAACGGCTAATTACACAATTCAAAGTTTTTTGCTAAAACATTACACTGGGTATATATGTATATGAATTTTAATATTGCAAATTAAGAAAAAAATCTTAATTTCAGTTTGGTTTGTAATTTCTTTAAGCAATAGGTGAAATTTCTTTAAGCAAAAATACAAAAATTTCAAAGACTTTCAATTCCAACTAGGCATCTCTTCTCCATGATATGTTTCTGATAAACAGTTACAGAATGAATTTCCTTAAAAATAAAAGAAATTAACATTTAGTGTAATTAAAATTCATTGACAATGATTTCACTACCACGTGCAAGGCCCACTTTGCCAGCATTCGCTTCTTCCCTCGTTCGTTTTTTTTCCAGGAATACTGGTGAAAAGACCCTCTCAGTTTCCACTCTTAAGCAACAACTAGCCGATTGCTTAAAGATCGAAAAACGTAACAGACCTTTCGGAAAAAATACCGAAAAAGAATTTCATTTACTAAAAAATAAAAAGTGCTGATCCATGATTGCTGCCAGATTAAACGGAAATTCTTTTCCGTTTACTTCATCAAAACTCAACTGCCGGGACATCATTTCTCCACTCTACAAAATCCACCTGGTCTCGACATTTCATCAGAATTTAAACTCCAGCATGTATCGAATACGATTCTGACTCTCACTGTAGACAAGGTACTCGCTCTGGGAGAAATAACTGTTGCTGTATTTGGTTTGTTGTACTGGCTTGCCTTGTGGGACGACGACCTTCTTACCGTCCAACATGAGGTGGGTTTCCTTTTTGGGATCTGGACAAATGAAACAGCGATTGTTACTTAAACTCCAAGCCTGCCCCCAAAAGTCCCGAGCCTGTGTCTTGTGATGTGTAGCATCAACTCTGTGTTTAGCCCAACTATTTCCATGTGTACAGGAAGTGCTCATTGCCCATTTGTCCGCACATTATTCAAATCGAGTTGACCTGAACTGTTCTTGGGTCACAAGGACTGTAGGACAACAGGGTAGGTTCAGATGGTCCATTACTTTCTCACTTGGATGCTTAACATAAAGCATGCTCAGACTCACCCTTACAAATTCCATTTACCTTGCCAATGCATGAAATTATGCCAAAAGAGGGGTGAGATAAGATCTAGTGTTGTGATCAATGTCACCTTTTGATTGGACATAAACAAAGGCAGGGGTGTGTATAAATCTGTGCCGGAGGGGGTTGCCGGATGGCTTAACTCTTAAAAGGTGGCACAGTTTACATGCCGTACACCTAAAAAACAGAGGACTTGACTTTGGGAAAGCTAACTTAACATTTTCTTCAGACATTTAGTCAAACCACACATCTGGTTTTGGTTTGCCAAATTCCACGAGCATTTAGAAAATGGCTAAACCTCAGATTGTAACTTCACGCTCTGTTTGCAGATGTCTTGGGAATTTGGTCAAACGATACCCTCCCAACTCCCTCTTCACTTCCAAATCACTTCCTTGAGTTACTAGCCCCCTTGTTCATACCTGGTTCGGTTCGTCCTTTGGCAATGACACAGTCATGGCCAGAGGGGGCTTGTCGCAGACTGCTGTCATCCATGGTGATGTGGTGTTCCTTGCCTAGGACAACCTCGTTCAGGAACATGATTCCGGTACCCTTATTGGTTGTTCCCACTGTTTAAGTATAAATTTGGAAAGGATTAGGCACTGTTAATATCAAAAGTTTGAATAATGTCAAGGTTCTCCCCCCGTTTTTCCTCATCACCGGGTGAAGATTGGTGTATTCTTTTCCAAGAAACAGAACGTTTTGATATGTATTTTTCACATCTAGACGGACAACCTGACCCATGTGCAGGCAATGCCTCAGTGACTTCTGATATTAATTCAATTCTGTGAAGCCTTTCTCACGGTGATCTGGCAAGTCACTTTTGTAGGCTGCATACGAATCTGTTGTCTAGAGCTAGGTCTAGGTCTTCGCTCCATTGGAAACGCTCGGAGAGGCGTTGACAATAGACCTAGCCGTAGCTCTGGAAGCCCGTTTTGGACGCGGCCTTAGTTACCCTAACTGCGCTGTGCCTTGTTTGCATCTCAAAATGTTTAAATGGGGTGGGCACCATGCCAGAGGTAACAAAGACAGTTTGGGTGAAGCTGGTCTCAGACATTCGTTTTTGATAGACTGAGGCAGTGCTAAGACCAGTTCAAGCCCGACCTTTGGGAAAACCTGGGAAATATGTCCTTGAGCAGGACATCTTGCTGTAACTTTGACTTGCTTCCAGGAGCAAATGGAATGCTAGAGTGGTTGCATCAGCAGAATTGAGGAAGTACAGTCCCTTGCTTTACCATAGTTTTGCCAAAGAGACTGAAATGGAGCTCATGTGCAGAGACTTCCTTGATTAATAAAAAGAGCCGCTTACCATATCCTGCCGACTTGCTGTGCTCCGACGCGAAGTAAATCCCCCGGCCGACACGTCCCCCTGAGTGGGGCATAATGCGTAGGCCAGTCTTCAATATGGCCGCCACCACGGCTACATTGGTGCCATGCCACAGCAGGCGCCGGTTCTCAAGCTTGTCATGGGTGGCAAAACGTTTGTCCTGCGCACAAAAATTTAGACAAGTGAACAAAAGACTGAAAAAGTATTATCAGAAATTATTTATTCTAACACTGCAGTCTTGTTTGACTCGAGGCGGGCTATGCCAATGTTTAGAGGGATAAAAAATGTGTTTTTAACACTGTGTTTAAAAAATGATTAGCAACACACTGGAACTAAAACACGAGAAGCTAGTTCTCTGAAGCTAGTAATGAATGTCTCAGGTTAGACAAAAGGAAATAAGGACACTAGTCTGTGTAAAACTGAACTTAAGAAAATTCCTCTACACATGGCCAGAATAACTGCACCTTACATCCTAGGCACCAGTAATCTGTAGGCTCTACTGCACCAAAGACACCTACACCAATTTCACAGTGCCAGTAAGGGCAGGAAATTTCACGCTTAGCACCATATTTCATGTCGGTGCTAAGCTGCATTGTGGTACCTGAAAAAAAAATCTTTCCTACAAAACCAGAAATTCAAAGAGAGGCCAAATCATGGTGTCATAGTTTCAAGGACCCAAAAGCTCAATATGGGTCCTGATCTTTGCAAAGGCTCTCGGTACTTACTTCTCCATGTCTGGCAACTTTCCAGACATTCAGCAATGTAGGATTCCTCCAGCCTCCTTTCGTCTGGTCTACGTAGGTACGAATTACCTGAAAAAGTGAAACAATTGAACATTTTTCAAATGAAAAACATGCCACTTAAATGGCCAACAAGTGTAATGGAAACGTGAAGGACAAGAAGGTACAAACTCAGCGTTTGAGCTCTTTGCTCAAAAGGTGGAATATTCTACATCTTTCTTACGCTATACCTCGTGTTCCTTTGTCTTGGGCTCCAAGTGCTCCAGCTTGCATTTCAGCAGTTCATAGTTCACGTCCAGCGGATTAGGTGCCACGTCAGCCTGGGACTGTGACTGCAGGACACACGAGGAATGTCAAGGTGAACAAATTGTTGAAGAAATCGATTGACATTAAATTTAGGGACTCGCAAATTGCATAAAAATAACCAAAACATAGGGTATAAATGTTATGGGAACTCAGTCCGGTTATGTCGTCCAGTCAAAAAGATCAAGTTGAAAAACTTAAGTTAGTTCCTTTTTAAATTAAAAAAAAAAGTCAGGAATTCGGCAGCTGAATTACTTACGAGTGTTTCGTCTTGTTCTTTCTTGATATCTTGGGCAATGACTATGTCACTCAGCACCTATGCAATGCAATAAAGAGTACAATTTTTCCAATTTGTTTCCCACAAATCACCACTTCCAAAAGAGGGCAAACCATGGCGTACAGTGGGGAACACAGACCTGTCAAATGACAGTAATTATGGAGAAAATTTGCTCTTGGGGCGCTTTGAAAGTCTTCATAATCCAGTCCAAATTTCCCAACGAACCGAAACGTCTCCTCCATGCAGGGCTGGCAAGGTCAATATGAACATAAATGGTGTCAGCCCACCAAGGTGTTGCTGCTGGCATGGATACAGCACCCTCTATAGCTCCATGACCAGTGGCACAGCATGGCAGGGGGTGGTGAGGAACAAGGAAGTGCCCATTTTTCCCACGAGTGCCCTTTGCTGATGACGAGCAACCGTCAGAAATCAGGCAGCCATGAAGGGCGTAATCTAACCTCATCGTCCAGCTTCTTCACTCCCTCCCTCCATTTCGTTTATTTCTTCCAGTGAAAAAATTCCACCTGCCGCTAAACACAGATCCCGAGTGGACTTTTTCATGTTCATCCCCTCTCACACAATCAAAATGACCTTGCTAAAGCACTGTGTACAGGGTCCTCAGCCTTCCAGATACAAAGCATGCAGCCTCAGCGGATGTTAATCTAACGTCTAGAAGGGGTGTAAGTGGGGTAACAGACTCCATCACACTACAAGGCAGCCCCATAGCCAGCTTCAGGCATGGGGGGGCAGAGTACCAGCTACGGGGGCAGGCCACATGAACAATTGATAATTTGATGTTTCTGGTGTGTGCCCCGGGGGGGGGGGGCAGGCAGCCCCTCTGCCCCCCCTGCCAACTTAGCAACAGGCCCACTACAAGGACTTCTTACCAGGAGCATGTCCTTCTTGTTCTGCACGGTCTCCTGTGTGCTGATGGTCGGTGGCAGCTTCCGGCCGAAGGAGTGGGGGATGACGGTGTAGAACTTGGAGCTGAGCTCCTGCAGCTTCTTGTTGCTGGCCTTGCTGTTGATGGCTGTCTCGATCTCCTCCAGGGCCTCAAAGCCCTTGGCCAGTTGGGCTTTGCTCAGTTTACCCAGGGGCATTTTCTTCACATCTGAGGGAAGGACAGCGATTTGTTTGAACCATTGCTACCAAATGGAATTGACCACGGAAGACTAAAAGTGGGTCCAAATACACTTGATTAGTTACAAGGTAAATACGTGAACAGGTTGGTCCAGCTAAATTCATACAGAACTGCTAAAGATGTTCCAACAGAGAATCCTGACATAGTTTATCAAGGCAAGATAACCAGCAGTCAACAAATGTTCATCCCTCCAGTTCACTCCAGCTCTTACCAAATTTAAAATCACACCGTTTTACCAAGAGTTCGACTCCAGCACTCACCCAGCTCAAAGTTTTCCATCTGTTCCTGGAACATGTTATTGTCAAAGATCAGATCCAAGAGTTTCTGGGTTGGCATATCCAGTTTGCTTGGGGCATACTCCGAGCTCTTTTTAGAAGTTGCGCCGCTCGTGCCCTCCAGTGCACCCAACTGTACCAAAAACAGGAACAGATTTCAAATTCAAAGATATCAGTTATCAACACTTTAACTGTTTCAGAATGAAGAGATTTCCATTGTCATCACATAATCCAATAGGTAGGTAACCTGACAAACAAATTCTGGAAGTCGTAAGCCACATGATTAGCCAGCCTGTCAAGCACACCACATGTGGTGTATTTTGTGAATAATAAAATCACAGCACCATATTCAGCTTGCACATCCAAAGTACTTCCACAAGAAATACAATCTTTTAGGTCACTTTGCATTATTTGTAATCTGAGCTGGATTTTTGTTCTTACAAATTTCTAATGGGCATTTAGCCCCAATTTTTTAACGGTGAACACAAAAGAAATTATTAATTTTTCTTTTAATCGTGGGAATAATAATCTTTACGAGGATCCATAAGACTGAATAGACCTTTTCACTAATACATTCATAATTATGCACACATACGCACAAATGGCCTTGGCGGCAACAAGTGTGAGCAGGCCTTTAAAAAGGTACAGGGGTTTGACTTTGAGGATCATTTTCTCACAGGTGTTCTGGCTTTGTTCATTTTTTTCCTTCAGAAAATCCCATTAAATTGTTTTGCTATTAGTTTCTAATCTAAGCAGGAATTTTAGTGCCCTGTAAAAAGACTCTATAATCTTGATTTTTTTTCCTATGTGCACGAGATCGCAATTTCTTAGCATGCCCCCTTCCAACATAAGTAGTATAAATTACATGGTTCCTGTTCTTGGAGCCAACCTGTGCATTAGTAAACACGTACTGATGTTCAATGTACATGTACTGTACCCATTCGATTTGCTGCTTTCTGCACTTGGGAAATGTGTGCACGGTAAAAATTATGATTATAGAGTCTTTTTCAGAGCACTGAAAATCCTGCCTAAATTAGAAACTAATAGCAAAAAGATGAATGCGATTTAATGTGATGGAAAACCTGAGAGAAAATGATCATCAAAGTCGCACCCCTCTTCATTTTCAATGTCCTGCTCACACTTCTTGCCGCCAAGGCCATTTGTGCACATGCATGTATAATTAGGAATTTATTAGTGAAAAGGTTTACAACCAAAATGCAGATATAATGTAGGCTAAGAGAGGGCATGTAAGGCACTCTGGGCAGCAGGCAGACAACCCACATTTGATCAAGAACCCACAGAGTATTGCTAAGGATCGTCAGTATTGAATTTTCACCTAGAGAGGGAAACCCGAGAACCGGGAGAAAAACCCTCATGGCACAGGTTTACTCCCATTTGGCCTGGGCTGGGAATTGAACCTGGGTCACTCTAGTGAGAGTTAAGAGCACCACCCACAAGCTACCTGTGTGCTATCAAGCAAATTACCCACTCCTATCCACTCTGCCTTACCTTCTTCAAGTCCTCCTCCACATCTTCGCCTCGCTCCACCTCAATCAGGGTGTACTTGCCAGCCACCGGTTTGAAGTTCTCCCGTTCCGCCCACTTGTTGCGCGTCTTGTCCTGGAACTTCTTCTCAAACGCCTTGATGGCCTGACTGACGTCAGCGAACGAGTTCTGCTGATTGGCTCCCGGCTCCCCCTGAATATAGATATTGGGTTTTTTTTCAAAGATGGAGTAATTTTGTTGGATAAAAATTGAAGGAATTTCGGAGGAAATCTCTCAAGTAGACAAATGTCAAACTTAGTCACCTCGCCCAGAATGAACAAAGTTTTCAATGATAGGGCTTCCCACATTGCAAAAGTTTGACATCCATCATTAAATCCATGGATGTTAATATTTTTGTGAGAGGAGCTTCACAATACCTAGTTTCTGTGTGCCTTTACCAGGAAAGGAAGGTCTTCCACAGAAAATTGATGAGGAAGTTAGTTTCCTGCATTCTCGACCTGGTTCTCATCTTACATGGGCTGACGTGTTCTTTTGAAGAAAATGCATGTCCATGTATGTACCCAGGATATTTCCGGTTCACTTTTTGATGCAGAAACGCAACAGTGTGTGGCTCGTTCTAGCTTCTTCAGATCTCTTGATGTGTTATTTTTAACTTGAAACATTCTCCTGATGAAACTTAGGTTACGTTACACATCCAAAACTGTTTAGAATAAGGGTAATTCTAGAAATTAGGGGTCCTTTTTTTGTGTCCCTGTCACATTTGACATATGATTTTGTAAGTTCAAAACACATTTTCTAATTTCCAAGTGTGATGAATTAATGCAAATTACCTGCCAAACAAGTAGTAATAGTTTGCGATCAATAACGCTGATATTTCCATGTCAAATAACAAAGGTCAGATATAACAGGGACACAAAAATGTCACACTTTCAGACCCCTAATTTCTGGAATTACCCATAAAGGAAGTTAGGACTGTCTGATGAATGAACAGCCAGCAACTCAACCTGTGAAAAACTAAAAAATTCAAGCCGTTACTTACGACACGACCCCATCTGGTCCACACCGTGAACTGTTTGCCTTGCTGTATTAGCTGGATGACGTAATACTTGTTGTTGTTTTGCGAGATGTTGGTCTGGTTCAGCATGCAGTCAAAATCCTCGTACACCTACCAAGGCATCACAAGAGGATCAAACTGAGAACTGGGCAAATACCGGAATTTCTGGCAGCTTTCTTAAAGCATACACATTAACCCTA